CAACACACAAAAAGTAACTTTTGCCTGATGACTGCAATTAGGGGGCTTGCTGCTAAAAAATAAAGTTTGCACAAGTGAACACAAACCACGAGGAGCAGGAAGATGGTGGCATGAGGCTCTGTGAGAACTGTAATGCCGAGATGACGATCCCAAATATGTTTTGACACAACTTGGTACTTCACTTTCTTCATTGAGATTTGTTAATGGCTGAAAATAAATAATTTTTTGTAACTTTTGTATTGCATATAGGCTATTACACAGTGAATACATATACCATCCCTATCATAGCCAATTATACAAATGCAATACAGCTTTAGCAAGTGAAATGCTGACAAGGATTAATTGGAAAATGAAAGTATTCTTTAATGGGTATATGGGTGACAGAGTGATAGAAGGCAACAGATAAGGAATTTGAAAGAGTGCAATTTGTATAGGCATTGTTACAGAATGATCATCCCTGAGTTCTGATGGCTTTCGAACGAGGCAAAATTGTTCACCCTATTGAACATTTCCTACTGAGAGGTAAAATAGCAGGAAGCCAGTGGCTGACTGACATCTCTTTCCTTGGGAAATTGCTTATAGTGAGTACAGGCTGAACAAACTCATTGCCCTATACACATTAGTCCACTGAACGTATACAGGAATTTATTAACAGTTTCTGATTAAAGTCAATGTATATAAAGAAGGAAGTTCCTAGAAGAAACAAATCTATGGAGCAGTAAAGGTATTAGAGCTGATCATCACCTTTGGCAAACTATTAGATATCTTTTAGTATTGTGAAAAGCTGAGCTAACTAATGCATCATGACTTGAATTCTCTCCAGTACAGCAATCATGTATGTATCTGGTATGAGTAATATCAACAAATGCATAAAACAACACAAATAAAGTTTAAGAAAATTTTTTATAATACTTTATTTTGACACTCTCACATTAGTATAATAAATTACAGTGCCCTACTCACTTAGTTGGTCTACAGTTATGAACAGTTGTGAACCACTTAATTAAATCATACAGTACAGTGGACCCCCGCTTAACGATCAGCTCCCAATGCGACCAATTATGTAAGTGTATTTATGTAAGTGCGTTTGTATGTGTATGTTTGGGGGTCTGAAATGGACTAATCTAATTCACAATATTCCTTATGGGAACAAATTCAGTCAGTAGTGGCACCTGAACATACTTCTGGAATGAAAAAATATCGTTAACCGGGGGTCCACTGTACTTTGTCCAGATCTTGTTTACTATTACAATGAAAAGTTTGGCATTGGGGCACTGAGGGCATCACCATCACTGTACTTGCTTAGGGACCTGGCACTGCGAGTGAATACAAAATAATCTGTCTTTACTGAGGGCACTTTTTTTCCAAGATTTGTTTCTTGAGTTTTGATCAGTAACATGCTGACCATAGTACATGTCAGAGTGAATGAGTTCTACATCAATATTTGCATGCATGTCAAAATTAATATGGGAAACTTATGGCTATGATTGAACAATAAAAGAAGAGATATTGTTGATACAGTTGTATTATTAAGCCTAAAGCTAAAAGTAATATAGCCTGAGCTTTTTTTTTTATGGAGAAGTTGAGCTAAGGTAGACAGCTGTAGACTTAGTTATCCGCATGACCTGGTCTTTGATCAGGCCTCCTAGGTAGGAAAAGAAATATTACATGATTGAGAACTATTAAAAAATACATACAAGGGTAAAAGAATAGGTAGTAGGTTGGTAGACAGCAACCACCCAGGGAGGTACTACCGTCCTGCCAAGTGAGTGTAAAACCTGTAATTGTTTTACATGATGGTAGGGTTGCTGGTGTCCATTTTTCTGTCTCATGAACATGCAAGGTGTCAGGTATGTCTTGCTACGTCTATTTACACTTAGGTCACACTACACATACATGTACAAGCATATATATACACACCCCTCTGGGCTTTCTTCTATTTTCTTTCTAGTTCTTCTTCTTGTTTATTTCCTCTTATCTCCATGGGGAAGTGGAACAGAATTCTTCCTCTGTAAGCTATGCGTATTGTAAGAGGCAACTAAAATGCCAGAATCAAGGGGCTAGTAACCCCTTCTCCTGTATAAATTACTAAATTTAAAGAGAAACTTTCGTTTTTCTTTTTGGGCCACCCTGCCTTGGTGGGATACGGCCGGTTTGTTGAAAAGAAAAAAAAAAAAAGGGTAAAAGCATGTGCATACTACATGTAAGTAGGAATTTCTAGCATGTATTTACATGTCATTTTACGTATCCATGAGACACAAAAAAAAGATTAGCAATCTGGCCAAGTGCAAAAAAATTTATCAGATTTTTCTTTCACACTCATAGAAGGGCAAAAGACCAAAAGCTCCAGCTATGGGCCAACATACGACTAAGACCTGCATGAGGAAACACTTGTCCTGTTTCCTGGCAAACCTTACCAACCAACAACAGTAGTACTGTACCTCCCTGGATGGTTGCTGTCATTACTATTATTATTATAATCAAAAAGAAGCGCTAAGCCACAAGGGCTATACAGCGCTGCTGGTTGCTGTCAACCATCCTACTACTGGAGTTTAAATTCTGTGACATTTTTATTAGGTAGTTAATACAGCATCTGAGAAGAATCTGGATAGCTAATTTTTCAATTTTGTACCTTCTACCTGCTGTGCCCTTCCTTACAACTTTTTTACATTCCTGTGCAAAATACTGTATTAAATAATTACATATCAAGTGATTTTAATTCTTTTTATGAATCTCATCTTTTGTAAGACACTACATAATTTTTTTTATTTATACAGCTACTCTGATAACATCTTATTTAGTTGCTAGAGTATAAACTTAAGAATAATGTGCTATCTGATTCCTGTTTCTTGTTTGTCTGACATTAATGTAACTTTGATTTTGTAATAACATAATATTATATAAAGTTTATCCTTGATCATCTGTAGTAGTGGCAATATAAGTTCCAGTACTGTCTTTCCATTGGAATTGTGAACCTTTTATATATAATTACAAATACTGTACTGCATACCTGTACTGCACAGAATTATTTTGTTGTTCCTCTATTTTAAGAAGCATGCTTGTGTTGGAGATGGGAAGATTATTTCAATACATACATACTTGTTTATAGTTCTGAGTGGTGCCTGTCTAGCTCTGTTTGGAAAGTTATGTATTGGTTCCCAGGATGGTCACTTATTCACTACAAGTTACCAAGATTTTTTGCAAGCTTGTTTGTTGTTTTTTGTTTGTAGGCCACTGATCTTAGTAAATTGTAAGGCTATACCCTCTTTTTATGTATTGTAAGCTTCTACAGTGAACTTTTTTAAAATTTATGTTAACAATCCATGTACACAAACTAGAAAGTTCTAAAAGAAATAGCTTCACTAAAAGAAAGTCTCACTAAAAAAAATATTATACTGTTGTCAAATTAAGAGTTGCAGTGCTCAAATAAGACAAAATCCTACCTGCATAATATTGACATTTGTCAGTCTTGGAGGCTGGTCCAGCTGCAAGGCTCGAAAAAGCTGTGATATCAAAAGCATTAGGGAGAGTAAAATTGAAACCAATATAGTTCGTTTACCAGGCTGGAGCCTACGAGACTTGATGTTGGTGGGAAGAATAGCATACGTGTCACCTGAACTATGATGATACATGGTGGTGAAGATGGAACCTGAAAAAAAAAATTATTAATCATATAAAATATCACCTGAATGTCAATGTAAATAATAAGCAAAGTGAGTGGTACTAGTGTATTTTAAATTACAATACAAAATATTATCTGATAGTACATGTATCTAATTATACATGATACATGAAGGTTGAAGGAAAGCTGGAAGAACACGAAAGAAGTAGATGAAAACAGCAGGTTTCAGGATTTGTTCGATATAGTTCACCGTCATCAAGATGACAGTAAGGTAAGGCGGTGGTCCATAGCCTGGTAGGCAAAACTCTCACTTCACATGCTGAGTGTCCATAAGTCAATTCCCAGCAAGGGTGGAAATACTGGTGTGTTTCCTTACACCTGTTGTCCCATTCACCTAGCAAGCCAGTAGGTACCTGGTGTGGATCGCATGTGTGGGGGATCGCATGGTGTGGATCGCATCTTGGGGGGACAAGATTGAAGACCCCAACAGAAATCAGACAGACAGTTCCTCGATGACACACTGCCTTTCTTGGGTTATCCTGAATGGCTAACCCTCCGGAGTTAAAAATCCAAACAAAATCTTATTTTATCAATCGCTAGCGCACTCAGCTCACTCACTGAGGTCCGGGGATCAATCCCCCAGTATGGCTGGAAAACATTAGGATGTGTTTTCACAAGATACCTGCTGTCCCCATTCACCCATCAGTAAAATGGGAACCTGGATGTTAGGTGACTGGTGTGGGTCTCATCCTGGAACAAAACTGACCTAATTTGCCTGAAATGCCCTGCGTGACAAGGGGATTTCTATATACAGCAGTAAGTCATTGATGTCAGCTAGGACTGTCTACCTTGTACATATATGTATTTGTAGAAATAAAGGTGTTATTATTATTATTTTATCCTAGCTTTGTAGCAGTTGGCAGATGGGGAACCTATGGACTCTTCAGGCAATTCCAGATTTTAGAGCATTTTATGCATATTTGAGTTTTAACACAGGTTGAGCCAGACAGAAGTTATCAAGCAGATTTTTGTCTTGTTATGCCTATTAGTTTTGTTGCAGCTATCATGGTTTATACTACAATTGTTTTTCCTGTATATATAGTATGTACAGTAATATATATGTACTACTGGACGTAAGTCACTTTGACTTTCGTAGGTTATCCTAGGTAATTGACACATACGTTACCAGGTATGTTAATTGTACTTGTGTGTACCGGTACCTAAATGAGGTTACTAAATTGGGTAATTGCTATTACTGGTCTTAGATGATTTGTTGAAGTCGATACCTAGGTACAAATACCACAGGTGAGGTAAGGATAGATTACTTAGTGCAATGTTAGTACTGTCTGAGGTACATATTAACTTATCTTTAAGAGACTAAGTGACTTCATTTAGGTACAGGTACACCTAAGTACAATAACCATATTTAGTGTAAATTACCTAGGATAACTAAAAAAAAAAAGATTTCTATTGGGGTCCTTGAATCTCTATTGGGGTCCTAAAGCAACTGGGGTCAGTGCCTGAGGTAATGGAAGGTAATCAAGTTTGATTCAAGAAACAGGAAGCATGATCAATTCCTTGGATCAGGGGAAATTTATTAAAAAAAAAAATGAAAAAGATACGCGAGCAGCCTCTAGCATGCACAGCAACATTGATTCAATATACACAAGTTATCAACGCAACACTTATTTATACAGCTGACACCAGAAACACTCGTAGTTTTCCCCCAGTAAAGCTTATCTTAGCTATATTAAAAGGTGATATGTTACTAGTGTTGGTAGTAGTGTGTGTCAAGCCTGGGAGGTGTCACCACCACCACCATCATGGACAACATCACGTCATCAACGTATTGACGTCATTCATCTTCATTCATAACACGATGAGTAACAATAATAATAATATTAATAACTATAATAATAATAAGAGTAATAATAATAATAACAGTAATAATAATAATAATAATAATAATAATAATAATAATAATAATAATAATAATAATAATAATAATATATAATATTACTACTACTACTACTATACTACTACTACTACTACTACTACTACTACTACTACTAATAATAATAATAATAATAATAATAATAATAATAATAATAATAATAATAATAATAATAATAATAATAATAAGGAAGTAGGGGTATTAATGTTGCAGTTTTATAGCTAGTATAAGCACGCCTCTGGCAAGACAGTGATGGAGTGAATGATGATGAAAGTTTTTCTTTTTCGGGCCACCCTGCCTTGGTGGGAATTGGCCGATGTGTTAATAAATAATAATAATAATAATAATAATAATAATAGTGGTCAAGACTGCTGTCACATCCAGGGGAAAAAACGCTGTATGTACATGAACGTTGGATTTTAAGGATGCAAAAAAAAAAAAAATAGGTACAATTACACAATTTTTTGGATAATTTCAAATGTCATAAATAGGAACATTTATAAATTACCTAGGATAACCCCCAGAAAAGGTCAACCAATGTGACCTATGGCCATTTGGGTCAATGACCACAATCAACCTAACTAAAGATTTCCATCCCCATGTGGGTTGTTCCGCATTAAGATCGTCTGTTTACCAATGTTTTGAAATAAATTATATATATATATATATATATATATATATATATATATATATATATATATATATATATATCAAATATATCAATTCGGACTTCATGGTCTGGTGTGTTACACATCAGAAGAGAAGTATGCTAGACATGAGGAGGTCAACGACATTATAAAGAGACGCCTCGCCACAGCCTGTTGCTCAGTCCAACGGGAACCCCAAGTGGAGTTAGAATGATAACAAATTCTCACTACAGGCAGCACACTCCACCAATATTCAATACACTCAACCTACTCACCATACAAAACATCCATACTTATTACTGCACCTATTACATACATAGAACACTCAACTCTGATATTAACCCTCCCCTCAAACATCTCCTTGCCAACCTCAACAGAACACATGACCATAACACAAGGCACAGATCATCTTTGATATTCCTCGTGTCCATCTCACGCTATGCAAAAACTCAATGCACATAAAAGGCCCTAAAATCTGGAATTCATTACCTGTAAATATAAAAGAAACACTACCTGTTTATAAATTCAAGTCTCTTCTCAAAGATCACTTACTCACCAAAAACCAAATAAATACTGAATAACTGAACCTTATAAATTGTATATCTTAAATGTTTCTCACAATTATATCACATAAATGTTAAACCTAAAACCCAATCTAACTTTATTATTTTTTAAATACACTACCTAACAGAATACTCCATTCTACTGAATTTATAACAATGCATGCAACCATATGACCTGTCTTTGTAATACTCACTTGTGCTTTATAGTAATCAGTTTACATTAATGTTTTTCACTGATTTCATCATTGCTTAGTTAATCTTAAGTTAATTTTAAGCCAGCCCGTAATGCTATGCATATAAGTGGCTTTGGCATGCTGCTCTTATCTGTATTTTTTTTGTACCTCTGTAAGTGTGCTCAAATTATAAATAAATAAATAAATAAATAATAATATATATATATATATATATATATATATATATATATATATATATATATATATATATATATATATATATATATATATATATATATGTTTGTAGGTAGTAGGTTGGTAGACAGCAACCACCCAGGGAGGTACTACCGTCCTGCCAAGTAAGTGTAAAACGGAAACCTATAATTGTTTTACATGATGGTAGTATTGCTGGTGTCTTTTGTGTCATAAACATGCAAGATTTCAGGTATGTCTTGCTACTTCTTCTTATACTTAGGTCACACTACACATACATGTACAAGCATATATATATATATATATATATATATATATATATATATATATATATATATATATATATATATATATATATATATATATATATATGCAAAACAACCACTCTGAAAGAATAGAGAAATTCCAAGCGCTTTCGTGACTACTCACTGTGATCTTATTGCATATATATATATATATATATATATATATATATATATATATATATATATATATATATATATATATATATATATATATACCCTCTGGGTTTTCTTCTATTTTCTTACTAGTTCTTGTTCTTGTTTATTTCCTGTTATCTCCATGGGGGAGTGGAACAGAATTCTTCCTCCGTAAGCCATGCGTGTTGTAAGAGACGACTAAAATGCCGGGAGCAAGGGGCTAGTGACCCCTTCTCCTGTATATATTACTAAATTTAAAAAGAGGAACTTTCGTTTTTCTTTCTGGACCACCCTGCCTCGGTGGGATACGGCCGTTTGTTGAAAGAAGAAAGATATATATATGTATGTATGTATGTATGTATGTATGTATGTATGATATATATATATATATATATATATATATATATATATATATATATATATATTTATATATATATATGATATATATATATATATATATTATATATATATATATATATATATATATATATATTGTGTGTGTGTGTGTGTGTGTGTTAATAATATCTAATATAGAGATCCAGTCCTTTTGAGAAATAACGTATTATTTTCTTTTTAAAAATAATAGCATGTTGTCTATACCCCAGCATCTATTGTTATTTCTTGTGCAAATTGTTATTTTGGAAAATATTAGCAAAATTAAACAATATTGAGGGACCTTTCATGGTCAATAGGCAAGTTTATTTGGGTACAATTATTGTACACAGACGTATAATTACACATGTGTAGGTTACCTAGATCAATATGGCTAATCACATCCAACATAAACAAAGACGAATAAAATGTAAAGACGCGAGCTAATCCCATATCTATCGCTGGCGGAGTGAAGTTGCATTTATTTTAGGTTGGGTCAGGTTGCGTCTCATTAGGTTACGTTTCTTACATTTCAGCAAAACCAACCTAATATTTAATTTATTTTAGGAATAAATTATGGATAAATTCACACAAGAACCAACTCTCCATCTTATCTTAATTATCTTGTATTAAATGTCTTAATCTAATTCTCTATCTGTGGCTCAGGAAATAGTCAACTGTGGTTTCCAATGACAATACAGTGGCTTCGAATTTGTTAATGATCTTATGTCAGAATTCTAAAATGTTACGTAACCTCTTATTTCTATTAAAATTTGTTTTATGTCCTTCTAATTTATTGTGAGGAAATAAGTTTTTTAAGCTATAACTTTGATTAGGTGTATAAATATAATCTATCGCGTTTTTATCAGACGAAGCCAAAGTTTACACTGAACTCTCAGAAATTTGTTTACTAACTCCAAGTACATGTGAAAAATCTATTTCAGTAGATTAAGTTACATTTTATTAACCGATTATCTCATTATATAAATATAATATATATATTGAATGATATAATATGAAGCCTTATATTGAACTATACTAAGTTTTTGTGTAGCATTATTAAAAAAGAGACTAATCATAATAGCTACTACGACTATTAGTGAGTATGAAATGTTATTAATTTCCATAAAACATCGTTCATGTTGGAGGTGCCATCTGTAGGCAGGAGGAGGAAGCTGAGGCTGTCGTCTGCTGGTCAGCTGTGAGGATGGTGGAACACCTTTGACATGACGCTACATGGATGTTTGTGTGAATGGTTAATGAGGTAAGACTGAGCCTCTCCTGACGCTGTTTTTAAGGGGGCGCCGATAAGATGATATTGATGGGAGGGCGAGACTGAGAATCGATTTCCACTTGATCAGTCAAAAACTAATATTATCAAAAATGTCCTTGATATTACACGTATGGAGACAGTTTGTTGGCTTTACATTGCAGTATAATGACAAGTACTCATGTTTTTTCTAACAATAATAAAAAAATAGGTGTTTTTGTGCGAAATGTCTCATAAATTGCGGCCATGGAATGTTGCATATTGCAAGGCTGGGTGTGTGCAACAGTCACAGCTTGGGAACAAAGGATACATTATTACACCTCTTGTTCACATGGTAACCAAGGCATTCGGTATCATTTCATGGTTTATTTTTTACCCATTTTATAATAGCTTTAACAGTGATTCATGTAAAGAAGTTTGCCTTGAGTAGTTAAAGTATTGTGACTAAGCTGCTGAATGTTGTATGATAAAAAATTTAGTGGAAATGGCAACAAGCTATACCAGCTTTTGTTAGGTTATCCTGGGTTAATAAATCTCCCTTGCGATAAATAACCCTATAATCGTGAAGGTTGTAAATGAAAATAAGCCAAATTAAGTACGTAAGTAGCCAAGTAAGTTTATTTATGAACAGATACACAAGGTACAATTATTATACATAGTGTAAATTACCTAGGGGTAACTCCCAAAAGTCAGACAAAGTGACTTATTTCCATTGGGAGTTGTTGATTTCCACTTTATTGGGTTATCTTAGATTAAAAATACTTAATATAAATAAATAAATGTATGTGTCCCTGTAATACAAGTGCCCTCAGGATCATTTAAAAAAATTTATCTTTGTAAAACCTAGAAAAAACTTTCTTAAGGACATCTTCATCTTGTTGGAAAATTTCATTGGGTGGGACATTAACATTAAGTTTATCTTTATTATATATAGGAGTGAATTGCAAATGGATTGTTGAGGAACTTGTAATTCATAATTATCAACATGTGTACAAATAATACTTAGCACAAAATATAATGTTACTGGATTTTGCACTGGCATGACAACAGGCTATGATAGCAGTGATTCCTGGAGCCATTAGCATACATACAACATGAGGAACAAGCATCCCTTTTTACATACCATGTGTTCAACTTAGCCTATTGAGCAACTACATGCATTTTAAAGATTATTAATCCTTCTCTAAAACTCTTTTGATAGTTGCAGTAGATCTCATAAACATAATACTAGACACAGAAACCTTTATGATATTCCCAGTGTTTGACTCAACCTGTGTAAAAACTCAGTGCACCTAAAAGGACCTCAAATATCATACCTCTTCTGTACTCACCTAATTGTGGTTGCAGGGGTTGAGACTCAGCTCCTGGCCCCATCTCTTCACCAACCGCTACTAGGCCCTCTCTCCCCCTGCTCCATGAGCTTTATCATACCTCGTCTTAAAACTATGTATAGTTCCTGCCTCCACTACATCGCTTGCCAGACTATTCCACTTCCTAACTACTCTATGACTGAAGAAATACTTCCTAACATCCCTTTGACTCATCTGAGTCTTCAGCTTCCAATTGTGACCCCTTGTTTCTGTGTCCCATCTCTGGAACATCCTGTCTCTGTCCACCTTGTCTATTCCACGCAGTATTTTGTATGTCGTTATCATGTCTCCCCTGACCCTCCTGTCCTCCAGTGTTGTCAGACCGATTTCCCTTAACCTTTCTTCATAGGACATTCCCCTTAGCTCTGGAACTAGCCTTGTTGCAAACCTTTGCACTTTTTCTAATTTCTTGACGTGTTTGACCAGGTGTGGGTTCCAAACTGGTGCTTTGTACTCCAGCATGGGCCTGATGTACACAGTGTATAAAGTCTTGAACGATTCCTTACTGAGGTACTGGAACGCTATTCTCAGGTTTGCCAAGCGCCCATATGCCGCAACAGTTATCTGGTTAATGTGTGCTTCTGGCGATGTACTCGGTATTATACTCACTCCTAGGTCTTTCTCCTTGAGTGAGGTTTGCAGCCTTTGGCCACCTAGCCTATACTCTGTCTGCAGTCTTCTTTGCTCTCCTCTGATCTTCATGACTTTGCATTTGGCGGGGTTAAATTCTAGGAGCCAGTTTCTGGACCATACATCCAGCCTGTCCAGGTCTCTTTGTAGACCTGTCTGGTCCGCGTCTGATTTAATTCTCCTCATTAACTTCACGTCATCTGCAAACAGGGACACTTCTGAGTCTATCCCTTCCGTCATGTCGTTCACATATACCAAGAATAGCACTGGTCCCAGGACTGACCCCTGTGGGACCCCACTCGTCACTGGCGCCCACTGTGATACCTCATCACGGACCATGACTCGCTGTTGCCTCCCTGTTAGGTATTCTCTGATCCATTGCAGTGCCCTTCCTGTGTGTGTGTGTGTGTGTGTGTGTATCACTTATTTCTTGTAATTTTATTTCATGCTTTACTTTATTGCATTTTATTCATTATTATCAGAACTATGAACAATTTGTTGTATTTTTTCAGTGAGGATGAATATTGGTGGATCCAAGAAAGAACATTAATAACTCGAAATTAGAACATTTCATCAGCTGTCATCAGAATGCTCGGTATTCTCTTATGGAATGTTTTTGTATTTGCTGCGGGTGCTGTGAGTGTAATAGTTTCAGCATGGTGGTGGATAACAACACAAAAACTGCCAGAACCAGAGACCGAAAAACCAACCATAACAGATACCAGCTTACCGGAAGAACTTGTAGATAAGCTAAGGCAAGGAGATAGGTTCCACCGTCGTGAGACCTGCTTGGCACTCAACTTAATACTTCAATTCTTTTTCCAGGTAAGTGCGTTAGTTATCTTCTGGTACTGGATTTATACTGTACAGTGGAACCTTGGTTTTCGTTTGCAATGATTTTCGTTGAATTTGGTTTTCGATGACTTCTCGTCAGAATTTTGCCCTAGTTTTCATTCATCGCCTCAGTTTTCGTTGAGTTGACAGTGGTCCACTGTACCAAACATGTCTGCCCCCGCCCACACAAGGCTTCCCATGTGTTCTGAGTCAGTCTGGCTTTGTTTCTCATCAGTAGAGGGTAGTAGTGATGGTGGTAGAGGGTGGTAGTGATGGTGGTAGAGGGTGGTAGTGATGGTGGTAGAGGGTGGTAGTGATGGTGGTAGAGGGTGGTAGTGATGGTGGTAGAGGGTGGTAGTGATGGTGGTAGAGGGTGGTAGTGATGGTGGTAGAGGGTGGTAGTGGTTGTGATTGTGGTAGAAGGTGGCAGTGATGGTGGTAGAGGGGTGTAGTGATAGTGGTAGAGGGTGGTGGTGATGGCAGTAGAGGGTGGTAGTGATGGTGGTAGAGGGTGGTAGTGATGGTGGTAGAGGATAGTAGTGATGGTGGTAGAGGGTGGTAGTGGTTGTGATGGTGGTAGAGGGTGGTAGTGGTTGTGATGGTGGTAGAGGGTGGTAGTGATTGTGGTAGAGGGTGGTAGTGATGGTGGTAGAGATAACCTCTCCTCGGCATCTTCCATATGCCAACGAGTCTTCAATAAAGGTAAAAGTGATGTTAAATGTTCGTTTATCCATTTCATTAGTCCTTTATATTTATTTCTCATTGTTTTCTGTATGTAAAACTATAGTTATTCTCTGTAAAATGTATTTTTTGTTAATAGTTTTGGGTGTCTGGAACAGATTACAGTAGATCCCCGGTTATCATAATTAATCCGTTCTAGAGAGAGTAACTAAACCCGAATCTGACGATTTCCAAATTCATTTATCCCATGAGAAATAATGTGAATCCAATTCGTTCCAGACACTCAAAAGTATTAACAAAAATAATTTTTATATAGATTAAATCTAGATTTACGTACAGAAAAGAATGAGAAATCAAGTATAAAACAATAATAACATCACACTCACCTTTAATGAAGACTCTTGTTGGTGTATGGAAGATGGGAGGAGGGGAGAGGGTTAGGGTGATGTTCCTCCACAAATGTTTGCACCTCACTCCACTTTGCACAAATATCCTTAATCTTTAAAGAAGGAACCTTCTTCCCTCTCTCTTTCTCCTTCTCGGAAGAAATTTCCTCAGCTGGTGTACATAAAAACATAAAGCAGGAACACTGCAGCAGGCCTGTTGGCCCATACTAGGCAGGTCCTTCACAAATCATCCCACTGACAGAATCGTATTTGCCCAACCCAATTTTCAATGCTTCCCAAGCAATAAGCTTTGATAATTCTATTCACTCATGTGCAAGTCCCACTCAAATCAAATCATGTGTGTGGGGAGGTACCCTGTCTGGTGTAAGGGGAAGTACCCTGTCTGGTGTGTGGGGAAGTACCCTGGCAGGTGTGTGGGGAAGTGCCCTGGCTGGTGTGTGTGGGGAAGTGCCCTGGCTGGTGCGTTCTTTCTTGAATTCTATTGTGTTTTTCGCCTTCTTTACCAAAGAGCTGGCACTAGGAGCTTTCTTTTGGCCCATTGTGTCTTATTTAGCAGTTGCAAGCACTAAAACGAATGGAATATTACGAAATGTATCGTTTGAACGTGTGGGATCGTGCTCACTGGCTGATAAACAATGACATAGTGACAGTAAATGGTGTGTCGGGCCGCTCGGACGCCTTTGGGATGAACGACTATTTCCGAGCCAAATGACGATCACCAAGCTAATAGTTTGATGAAAAAAAAACATTACTATTTTCAAATATTACAAAATCCGACAACTACGAAATCCAGGGGTCCACTGTAATTGGATTTACATCATTTCTTATGGGAAATATTGCTTCAGTTTTCATCAGACTTTCTGGAACAAATTAATTACGAAAACCAAAGTTCCACTGTAGTGGTTCCTCATAACTCATGAAACCGTAATAACATGACAGTAAACAAATCACAGAACAGGCGGGGCACGAATCTGTGGCAAGTGAATCCTAAAACTCTTGGTTGACCAATGGACTCCTAGTTTGCACACTGGCCTGAAAGTTTTAGAAATTGCCATGCTTTGAGTTTGAGCCTCAACTATTCTGTGAGATGTAGTGGCCATTTGCTCATTGGCTATTTGTGTGAATATTGGTATAATCTATCCCTTGTCAATTTATTACAAGTGGTAAATGCATAATTTCTCAAGGCTGGCAACATTATTTATTTATTTATTTATTTATTTATTTATTTAAAAATTTGAGCACACATACAGAGGTACAAAAAATACAGATAAGAGCAGCATGCCAAAGCCACTTATACTATGCATAGCATTACGGGCTGGCTTAAAATTAACTTAAGATGAACTAAGCAATGATGACATCAGTGATAAAACTTTAATGTATACAGATTACTATAAAGCACAAGTGAGTATTACAAAGACAGGTCATATGGTTGTATGCATTGTTGTACATTCAGTAGAATGGAGTATTCTGTTAGGTAGTGTTGTTGGAGTGTGAGCAAAGTAACATTTATGAAGGGATTCAGGGAAACCGGCAGGCCGGACTTGAGTCCTGGAGATGGGAAGTACAGTGCCTGCACTCTGAAGGAGGGGTGTTAATGTTGCAGTTTAAAAACTGTAGTGTAAAGCACCCTTCTGGCAAGACAGTGATGGAGTGAATGATGGTGAAAGTTTTTCTTTTTCGGGCCACCCTGCCTTGGTGGGAATCGGCCGGTGTGATAATAAAAAAAAAAAAAAAAAAAATAAAGTTAGATTGGGTTTTAGGTTTAACATTTATGTGATATAATTGTGAGAAACATTTAAGATATACAATTTATAAGGTTCAGTTATTCAGTATTTATTTGGTTTTGGGTGAGTAAGTGATCTTTGAGAAGAGACTTGAATTTATAAACAGGTAGTGTTTCTTTTATATTTACAGGTAATGAGTTCCAGATTTTAGGGCCTTTTATGTGCATTGAGTTTTTGCATAGTGTGAGATGGACACGAGGAACATCAAAGAGTGATCTGTGCCTTGTGTTATGGTCATGTGTTCTGTTGAGGTTGGCAAGGAGATGTTTGAGGGGAGAGTTAATATCAGAGTTAAGTGTTCTATGTATGTAATAGGTGCAGTAATAAGTATGAATGTTTTGTATGGTGAATAGGTTAGTGTATTGAATATTGGTGGAGTGTGCTGCCTATAGTGAGAATTTGTTATCATTAACTGCAGCCTTTTGTTGGGTAATTAGTGGTCTGAGATGGTTACTTGTTGTTGAGCCCCATGCACAAATTCCATAGGTGAGATAGGGGTAAATAAGAGAGTGATATAGGGCCAGGAGGGCTGACTGTGGAGCATAGTACCGTATCTTCGATAGTATGCCTACAGTCTTGGAAATTTTCTTAGAAATTTGTTGTATATGTGTATGAAATTTGAGTCTATTATCAAGGTGGATTCCTAAGAATTTTCCCTCTGTTAGCTTTGTGATAGGTGATCCGTTTATCATTATGTTAAGAGGGACATCTGTAGCTCTGTTACCAAACTGAATGAAGTAGGTTTTGTCAATGTTTAGTGTAAGTTTGTTAGTCCTCATCCAGGTAGATATTTTCTGTAATTCGGTATTTACAGTATTGGCTAGCGTGACTGGGGCTCGGGTGAGAGAAGACGTATGTAGTGTCATCTGCAAATAGTGTGGGTTTGAGTAATTGCGAAGCATTTGGTAGGTCATTTATGTATAGGAGAAAGAGAAGAGGGCCAAGGACACTTCCCTGTGGGACACCAACTGTAATTGGTTGTGCAGAAGAGTTTGCCCCATTTGCATACACATATTGGCTTCTGTTGCTGAGGTATGACTTGAGGTAGTTGAGGGAGTGCCCTCTTATACCATAGTGTGACAATTTTACGTGGAGCAAGTCATGGTTAACTGTATCAAAAGCTTTACGTAAGTCAATGAAGATCCCCAGTGGGACTTCTTTTTTCTCTATTGCAGTGTATATATGTTCTAGCATGTGTATAATAGCATCATTAGTATTTTTATTTGGCCTGAATCCAAATTGGCAGGGGTTGAGTATGTTTTGGGAGATAAGGTAGGAGTAGATTCGTTTATGAATTAATTTTTCGAAGATTTTTGAGAGAGGGTGTAAGTTGGATATTGGCCTTTAGTTATTCAACTCAGTTTGGTCTCCTCCTTTGTGGATCGGGGTGACCCTTGCTATTTTGAGTACTGTAGGGAAGGTGGAGGATTCAATGGATTTGTTAAAGAGTGTTGCAATGATTGGTGATAGCACTTGTGACACTTTTTTGTATATAAAGGGTGGTAAGGTATTTAAATCTCCTGCCTTGTTTTTTAGCGTGTTGATAATAAGGGAGACTTCGTATGGGTTAGTCGGAGCTAGGAACAGTGTGTTCGGGTAGTTGCCAGTGAGGTAGTCATTTGGTGGGGTATCTGAGCTTGGGATTTTATTGGCAAGGTTTTGTCCTATAGTGGAGAAGAAGTCATTGAGTCTGTTTGCTGTTTCTGTTGGTGGGAGTTGGGGTTCATCTGATTTTGCTAATTTTATTTCGCTATTTCGTGATATCTTTTTTTGTTCCTAGAATTTCTGATAGGGTTTTCCAGGTCTTTTTTATATCACCTCGTAAGTTGGATAATCTGTTCTCATAATACAATTTTTTTGCCCTTCTTATCAGGCTGGTTAGGATTGACGAGTAAAGTTTTGTTTGGTCTCTGGTTATGTGACCCATTCTGTACTGTTTTTCATATTGGTGTTTTGTATTTATGGATTTGAGAATGTGGGTGTTAACCAGGGACTGTTCAGTCTCTTAGCTGTCATCTGTTTAGTTTTTTTAGGGCAGTGCTTGTTATAGAGGTATTGGGTCTTTTTTAGAAAATTATTAATACATTCGTCAATATCTGTATAGATTTCTAGCTCAGTGTGCCAGTCAATGTTTGCTACTGCTGTTGTGAAGTTATTAATGGCTGCCTCATTGTGAAGTCTGAAGGTGACTTTAGTAGTGTCTTGGGGTAATTTACCAAGAGTTGTTATGAGAAAAGTAGGGTAGTGGTCTGTGGTATTATCTGTAATTATGCCTGATTTTAAAGGGGATATGGTGTTGGTCCAGATGTGGTCAAGTAGGGAAACACTAGTTTCTTGACGTGCTTTATCAAGTGCGGGTTCCAAACAGGTGCTGCATACTCCAGTACGGGCCTGACATACACGGTGTACAGTGTCTTGAACGATTATGTTATGGTTGTAATGAAACTTTACAATTTTATTTCAGTTATCATTAATTAGTAGGTTGGTAGATAGCAACCACCTAGGAGGTACTACTGTACTCACCTATTTGTGGTTGCAGGGGTTGAGTCTTAGCTCCTGGTCCCGCCTCTTCACCGGTTGCTACTGGGCCCTCTCTCTCCCCGCTCCATGAGCTTTATCAAACCTCGTCTTAAAATTGTGTATGGTTCCTACCTCCACTACATCATTTTCTAGGCTATTCCACTGCCTGACAACTCAGTGACTGAAGAAATACTTCCTAATATCTCTCTGACTCATTTGTGTCTTCAACTTCCAATTGTGGCCTCTTGTTTCTGTGTCCCCTCCCTGTAACATCCTGTCTTTGTCCACCTTGTCTATTCCACGCAGAATTTTATATGTCGTTATCATGTCTCCCCTGACCCTCCTGTCCTCCAGTGTCGTCAGGCCGATTTCCCTTAATCTTTCTTCATAGGACATTCCCCTTAGCTCTGGAACTAACCTTGTCACAAACCTTTGTACTTTCTCTAGTTTCTTGACGTGCTTTATCAAGTGCGGGTTCCAAACAGATGCTGCATACTCCAGTATGGGCCTGACATACACGGTGTACAGTGTCTTGAATGATTCCTTACTAAGGTATCGGAATGCTGTTCTCAGGTTTGCCAGGCGCCCATATGCTGCAGCAGTTATCTGATTGATGTGTGCTTCCGGAGACATGCTCGGTGTTATACTCACCCCAAGATCTTTCTCCTTGAGTGAGGTTTGCAGTCTTTGGCCACCTAGCCTATACTCTGTCTGTGGTCTTCTGTGCCCTTCCCCTATCTTCATGACTTTGCATTTGGCAGGATTAAATTCGAGAAGCCATTTGCTGGACCAGGTGTCCAGTCTGTCCAGGTCTCTTTGAAGTCCTGCCTGGTCCTCATCAGATTTAATTCTCCTCATTAACTTCACATCATCTGCAAACAGGGACACTTCTGAGTCTAACCCTTCCATCATGTCGTTCACATATACCAAAAATAGCACTGGTCCTAGGACCGACCCCTGTGGGACCCCGCTCGTCACAGGTGCCCACTGTGATGCATCATTACGTACCATGACTCGTTGTTGCCTCCCTGTCAGGTATTCTCTGATCCATTGCAGTGCCCTTCCTGTTATATGCGCCTGATGCTCTCGCTTCTGCACTAATCTCTTGTGAGGAACTGTGTCAAAGGCCTTCTTGCAGTCCAAGAAGAAGCAATCAACCCACCCCTCTCTCTCGTGTCTTCTGTTATTTTATCATAAAACTCCAGAAAGTTTGTGACACAGGATTTGCCTTCCATGAATCCGTGCTGGTTGGCATTTATACTCTTGTTCCGTTCCAGGTGCTCCACCACTCTCCTCCTGATAATCTTCTCCATAACTTTGCATACTATACACGTCAATGACACAGGTCTATGAGTGTGAAACAGAAACCTATTAACCCTTTCACTGACTCCCACATAGATTTGTTTTATTGATGCTTATGTTGGGCTATATTTTAATCACAGCACCCTCACATATGTTGAGAGTGGTAAATTTTGACCTAGACATGAGAGAATGGGTCTGTATGGTGTGTGTGTACATAGTGAAACAAAAATTTTCCCCTACACAGTACATAGTGTGAACAACCTATCTCTGATTTATAGCTGTTGCTTGATATTCCTGATAAATTGGGAGATAGTGAAATAGAGGTGATTTTGGTCAGTTTCAAACTGGAAGTCATAGATTACCTGATGCACATATACTGCATCAGTTATTTAGTTGATGTACTCCTCAGGTGATATGCTCGGTGCAATACTCACCCCAGGTTCTTTTGCTTGAGTGAGGTTTGGAGGCTTTCTTCCCCTCCCCTTCCTGAGCCTGTACTTTGTCTGTAGCCTTCTTTGTTTTTCCCCAAACTTCATAACTTTACACTTTCTGGGGTTAAACTCAAATAACCACTTAGGCACCTAAAGTCAGTACTGACCAGTCGGGCTGTGGTTTGTGCGTTGGATTGTGCGTGGCCAGCAGTAACAGCCTGGTTGATCAGCCCCTGATCCACCATGAGGCCTGGTCACAGACCAGGCCATTGGGGTGTTGACTCCTGGAACTCTCTCCAGGTATACTCCAGGTAGACCAGACCTACAACTTGTCTAGATCCATTTGTAGCTTTTCCTGGTCCATGTCTAATTGTATTCTCTTCACTAGTTTCACATAATATGTGAACAGAAATACAGTGGACCCCTGCTTAACGATCACCTCCAAATGCGACCAATTATGTAAGTGTATTTATGTAAGTGCGTTTGTACGTGTATGTTTGGGGGTCTGAAATGGACTAATCTACTTCACAATATTCCTTATGGGAAAAAATTCGGTCAGTACTGGCACCTGAACATACTACTGGAATGAAAAAAGTTCGTTAACCGGGGGTCCACTGTACCTCCAAGCAATAGCACTAGCCCTGGTTCTGATCCTTGGGGAAGCCCACACATCAGCTTCACCCATTCCAAAATCTCGTTTGTACAATCACTCACTGTGTCCTTCCATCAGGTATGCCTTGATCTATTGTGGTGCTTTCCCATTTATTCCCGTGTATGTGTGTGTGTACACTCATTTAATTGTGGTCACAGGGGTTGAGTCATAGCTCCTGGCCCCATGTGCATGCATTTGTGTGTGTGTTTGTGTTTTAGTCAGACTAATATTTAATATTGAAGGATGTTATTTTTTACTCAGGAAAAGCGTTATGAAGCTGGAATCATGCGTTGGCTTACAAACATTCTAACTCTCGAATTTAATGATCTGTTGAAACATAAAGCCCTCTCAAAGTTCATCCACAATATGCAGGTAAGAACTTTCTTTCTTTTCTTATTATTTCAGTAACACAGGTAATGTCATTTCACTAATTTGAGAAAATAAGTATATGTATGTAAATATATATACAGTAGACAGTTATATTACACAGATTTATTTTCCACATTTTGGGTATTAAACTATTGAAAAATTGTGGCATAATTTTATACAACACTTAACATGGTTCAGTTTGTGGGTGGGGAAAATACCCACCCCTCTCCAAGACCTCTGTGCATACATGTCTTTTACGACTCTTCTCAGAGCTAGCTGTGTTTGTGAATTGTGTCGTGATCTTTTCATCTTCTGAAAAGAATGACACATAGATCACAACTACCTAAATAGACTGACTTATGGACTGACTGACTTTCTGACTGACTTAACTGACTGACTGACTGAATGATTTACTGACATACTGACTAACTTGACTGAGTTGACTGACTGACTTGACTGACTGACTTGACTGACTGACTGACTGAATAACAGACTGACTGACTTGACTGACTGACTTGACTGACTGACTTGACTGACTGACTTGACTGACTGACTTGACTGATTGACTTGACTGACTGACTTGACTGACTGACTTGACTGACTGACTTGCTTGACTGACTTACTGACTTGACATTACTGACTTAAAGTTAGACTTTTCAATGAAAAGGACCCTGACAAATCTAGCAGCAGTGATCTGAAACGGTGTCTAGAGCAACTGATGATCCTTTACCGTCAGCTGTATAACATACTTCAGGGTAAAATTGCCCAGAGATCCATTACAGAATTTATACACACTCCAGTACAACCATCGACTTTAGTACCAGAATCTCCACCATCCACCTCAGCCCAGTAGGGCCACAGCACGATTCACCGCTCATTTCACAATCATTGACAGGCACGAGCACTCACAATTTAAGGTAAGAAATATTATTATTTCTGTTGCATTTTTAGTCTTAAGCAATAAAAATAACATAATACATCACAACAGTGAGCAACAATTACATATTCATTTTTATTTTTGTAAGATCTGGAGGTCTAAAAAAAAAGTTGTTTGGCTTTTTTGGGGCTCCCAGGAACATAACCCTGTTTTTCCCATAAGTTCTACAGTTTATCTAACATGGATTTACCTAACACAGCATTTTCAGGAACGTAACTGCCATGTAATATAACAGTCTACTGTATGTCTTTGAATTGGGGTTTTGAAATCAGATACAAATTAATTTTTTTATTTCTTTATATGGTATTTGTATTTGATTTCAAACCCTCACTTCTAACACTCCATGATATGCAGATCATTGAACTGCTGTATTTCAATGTAATTTATTTGTAATTGACCAATTCTTCATTTGCAACCTGTCTTGTTGAACTTATGATTACATGTATAATGGATTACCCAAGCTATATTGATTTAAATTTTATTCTAGGTCTAGATGTAAGTAGTGTGTAAGCCTTATGATTAGTTTGCTCAAAATACATTTGCATAATTACTGGCTCTCTTCTGAGTCTTATATTGTAACACATTACATCTATATTATAATAAGAGCAAATTTAAAAATGTAATAATTTTGAATGTATAACTACTGTAATTGTTTGGTTCTTGATAATTTTTTTTTTTAAGCATGAAGTCTTTATAAGTTAGCAGACAGATAAGATTTTTTATGCGTGCATTATCAAGTGTCACCTATTTCTGTACAACCAATGTATCATGTGGAAATAAATTTTTGAAATTGAATTTATTATTTTATCATCAAATGTTGATTAACTTTTAGGAATATTTGGTTCTCCTTGTATGTACTCATTATTTCTCATGGTATTTATGTATAAACAGGTAAATCAAATGAGGACAAGTCTACACAAAATGCTAAATCTCTCTATACTTTATAATTACTCTGCTGGTGTCAGACTTTTCTAGGGTATTCCTTGATGCCAATGAAGAGTTCTTGATCCAAGGAATTGGAGCTGTCCTTTTTCATGGATCAAATCTGATTACCTCCCATTCTCAAACACTGGCTGAACCCTTTGGGTTTATCTTGTTCCCATCAATATAATAGTAATAATAAAGAAAATAATGATATTGGTTTCAGATCCGAGACTTAAATCTAGGAGCAAACTTTCCAGTTATTCGAGCAGTGACAGCTAAGCATGTGAACCTGAACCCTGATACCTCAACTCTTGAAGAAATTGACATCATGGTGGAAGTGGAATACAATGGAGGAATCCAGTTGGCTGTTGATGCTTCTTCAAGGTTCTCCAAGGCCGCCATGGTTAAAATTAAAGGTTTGTTTCTCTCTACTATCTTTTGTTAAGTTTTAGTGACTGTTATGCTTCTGTCTTGGAAGAACAGAAAAGTTGCAAAAAGTTTTATAAAAAGACCCATTACAAAGGGAGAAAGGGTAACAAAAGGTCTGGTGGCAAATGCAGTGCATTTTCTTCAAGGGGGATGCTTTGATAATGAAGGGATCTTGATCCAAGGAATTGGAGCTACCCTCCTTCTTTGACTCAGACCTGATTATTGTATACTATACAGTACTTCCCATTCCCCAGGTGCTGTATGACCCTGATGGATTTAACACTCCCCCATGGCTGTGTTAATAATGTGATGCATTGCATCATACACTATATTAACCCTTTGACTGTTGGTGTCGTATATATATGTCTTACGAGCCAGTGTTGGTGACATATTAACCCTTTCAGGTTCCAGAGGCCAAATTTTAACCCTTTGACTGTTTTGGTCGTATATATACGTCTTACGAGCCAGTGTTTCAGACGTATATATACTCAATAATTCTAGCGGCTTCAAATCAAGCGGAAGAAAGCTGGTAGGCCCACATATGAGAGAATGGGTCTGTATGGTCAGTGTGCACCACATAAAAAAAATCCTGCAGCACACAGTGCATAATGAGAAAAAAAAAACTGATAGTTTTTTTGGATTAAAATGCCAACTTTGAGGTGTATTTTCGTCTAGTATTTATCGATGTATTTGAGTTTTCATGATCTTAGGTGATAAAAGGGAAAACATATTACAGAAATAGAGATGATTTTCATTACTTTAACGATGAAAACGTCCTTGAAACTGAGCTCAAAGTAGCGGAAATGTTCGATTTTTACCAATGTTCAGGAGTAAACAAATCACACCACACGTCCAATACACGTCAACTGGGGAGTCTAATATTCTTTCACTAGTGCACTGATATTATTTATACCATTTTTACAATAATGCAGTAGTCTGCATAACAGTAAATTTTGTATTTTTTTGTATGAATAAAAAATCAAAATAGAAAGCAATAATAATATAAGAAGGGCCTAGAGATGTGACTGATGAACAGAGGATATTTTATTTTAGTGCCAAGAATGTCTACCTTGTTTATTCTGAACCCTATTTTGAAATTGGCATCTTTTTTAGTTTGCGTGAAATTGGCCAAATTGCCAATTTCTGACCACAATATTGGGTAGTCCAAATTGGTAAATGGGAGGTTTCTTGTATTCAGCTGATAGATAAAATGGAGTTCTAAAGAAATAGCTATGAGTTTGGTCAACCGGAACAACGGAATTGGCTGAAAATAGGGCTCAAAGTCGGCAATATTGCCGATATGCATGTCGCCAAGACCGATAACTTCGCGGGAGCATAATTCCATGAGTTTTCGACCAAATTTCGAACTTTTGGTGTCATTACCATCGGGAAAAGATTCTCTATCATTTCACAAGAAAAAATAATGTTTTTTTTTTTCAAAAATTTAGCAACATAGAATGACAGTTTCAGAAAGGGGCCTGAAACAGTCAAAGGGTTAAGGGGTGCACCAGTGTCCAATAATTTAAAAAAAAAATTTTGTTATTTTTTCTTATGAAATGGTAGAGAATCTTTTTCTGAAGGTAATAAAACAAAAAGTATGAAATTTGATGGAAAATTGACGAAATAGTGCTCTCGCGAATTTTGACGTGTCAGCGATATTTACGAATCGGTGATTTTGCCAACTTTGACTCCCATTTTAGGCCAATTACTTTATTCCAGTCGACCAAATTCTTAGCTATTTCACTAGTATTACTTCTCTTCTATCGATTGAGCACAAGAAATCGCCAAGTCAACTGTTTCAACTACAAAATAAAGTGATCGGAAATTGGTAATTTGGCCAATTTAACACAAAGTTCAAAATATTCCAATTTCAAAATAGGGTCCAGAAATAAACAATGTAGATATTCCTGGCACTAAACTAACATTTCCTCTGTTCATTAGTTACATTTTGAGGCTTTACAAATGAATTCCATTTTGATTTTTTATTCACATAATGAATTTTTATTCAAACCAAAAAATAGAAGATTTACTGTTATGCAATATTGTAATAATTGTATAAATATCATCACCATATTTGTTAATTTATATTAGACCCACCAGCTGGCATGTATTAGACGTGTGAGGTCGTTTGTTTACTTTTGAACATTGGCAAAAATTTAACATTTCTGCTGTTTTGAGCTCAGTTTCAAGCCATTTCCAATACTAAAACCAATCAAAATCATCTCTATTTCTGTAGTATATCTTCCATTCTATCAAATGAGACCAAGAAATCGCAAATGCAACTATAACAAAAATAAGAAAAAACACTGCAAAGTCGCTGTTTTAATCGAAAATCATTGTCTCAGTTTTTTTCTCTCATTATACATTGTGTGCTGCAGGAGTTGTTTTATGTGGTGCACACATACCACATAGATGTATTCTCTCATATCTAGGCCCAAATTTACCACTCACAGCTTATCAGAGTGAGCTGAGCTCAAGGAGTAAATCTACGGTTTGGACCCTGAACGTAAAGCCGTAGATCTACGGGACGGACGCTGAAAGGGTTAATATGCCAAAATTCTAGCGCCTTCAAATCAAGCAGGAGAAAGCGGGTAGGCCCACATATGAGAAAATGGGTTTGTGTTGTCAGTGTGCACAGTATAAACAAAATCCTGCTGCACGCAGTGCATAATGAGAAAAAAACTCAGACCATGTTTTTGGATTAAAACGCTGACTTAGAGGTGTATTTTCATATAGTATTTATGGTTGTATTCTCGTTTTCTTGGCCCATTTGATAGAATGGAAGACATACTACATAAATAGAGATGATTTTGATTGGTTTCACAATGAAAAGGACTTTGAAATTGAGCTCAAATTAGCAGAAATGTTCGATTTTTGCCGATGCTCAAGAGTAAACAAATGACTCCGCTGTCCAACAAGTGTCCAACTAGCCATTCTAATACGCAGTCACGAATGGGTTGACATTATTTATACAATTATTACAATAATGCAGTAGTCTGCATAACAGTAAATCTTCTATTTTTTGTGTGAAAAAAAAATTCAAAATAGAAAGCAAGAGTAATATAAGAGGGGCCTGGAGACATGACTGATGAAAAGAGAAAATGTTATTTTAGTGCCAGGAATGTCTGCATTGTTTATTCTGGACCCTGTTTTGAAATTGGCATCTTTTTTAATTTGTGTGTAATTGGCCATATTGCCAATTTCTGACCACTTCATTGGGTAGTTGAAATCAGTAAATGGGCAGTTTCTTGTACTCAGTCGATAGAACAAATGAAGTTCTAAAGAAATAACTATGAGTTTGGTCGACTGGAACAATGGAATTGGCTGAAAATAGACCTCAAAGTGGCCAAAATCGCCAATGCATACATATCGCTGAGATCACTAACTTCGCAAGAACATAATTCCGTAAGTTTTCCATCAAATTTTGTACTTTTGGTGTCATTACCATTGGGAAAAGATTCTCTATCATTTCATAAGAAAAAATCATTTTTTTTTTTTTTTGAATATTTTGCGACAGAGACACTTTAGGATTTGGGGTCTTGACAGTCAGAGGGTTAAAGCAAAATAAATATAGCATATTATTACACATTTTGTTATTTTAGCATAGCACTGTCTGAATATTCTTAAAACATGAAGTAAATTTTGTCATTGGCAGTTGTTCATCTCTCTGGTAATGGTCGACTGCAGTTTTCTCGGCATCCCTTCACACACTGGAACTTCTCCTTTTATGAGGAACCTCAAGTAAGATAGCCTTCAGTTTATTTATTTTTTTTTTTATTATCACACTGGCCGATTCCCACCAAGGCAGGGTGGCCCGAAAAAGAAAAACTTTCACCATCATTCACTCCATCACTGTCTTGCCAGAAGGGTGCTTTACACTACAGTTTTTAAACTGCAACATAAACACCCCTCCTTCAGAGTGCAGGCACTGTACTTCCCATCTCCAGGACTCAAGTCCGGCCTGCCGGTTTCCCTGAACCCCTTCATAAATGTTACTTTGCTCACACTCCAACAGCACGTCAAGTATTAAAAACCATTTGTCTCCATTCACTCCTATCAAACACGCTCACGCATGCCTGCTGGAAGTCCAAGCCCCTCGCACACAAAACCTCCTTTACCCCCTCTCTCCAACCTTTCCTAGGCCGACCCCTACCCCCGCCTTCCTTCCACTACAGACTGATACACTCTTGAAGTCATTCTGTTTTGCTCCATTCTCTCTACATTTATTTATGCATATTTATAAAGAAGGGATGGTAACCCCTTCTCCTGTATAAATTACTAAATTTAAAAAAAAAAAAACTTTGTTTTTCTTTTAGGTCACCTTGCCTCAGTGGGATACAGCCAGTTCATTGGAAAAAAAACTATATGGAAGCAACTTTTTCATGTGTGGCATGTATTTAATTGTATAGTATTAACATTTAATCAGTAATTTTATCCTGTATTTCTGTAAATTTAAATAAATTAAAAATAAATATTGAATATAGGAATGGGACGATACCAAATTTTTGCAGATAGCAATACTCTATTTAATGCTGATGTCAATACTATCAAAATTAGCCAGTTAGCCATTGATATAAATACAGATACTGAGACCATCAAAAGTAATAAGTACTTACTGATAAAGATATTAAATTTTAGGCCAGTGCCAGTACCATCAAAATTAACTGATACCAGTACTTTGACACATCCCTAATTAAATACAGTAGGACCCCAATTATACGGCAGGTTAGGTTCCAGGCTACTGCCAGAAAGTGGACATCGCTGGAAAGCAGAATGATATTTTTTCCACATATAAATGCATATAAATGCTAAATAGCAAGTTTACACTAACATATATTAAGTTAGCAATAGAACTAGGCATTAAAAACAATAAAAAAGTAAAATACACAATATTTGTAATCTTAATGTAGGGTGAGAGGTGAGTAGTATTTATTTGTCAGAAGTCAGGTGTGGGAAGTATGGTAGCCAGCCAGGCCACCCCACTCGTGTGTAATGTACTATGACATTTAAAGCGCCCTAGAGTGATAAAAATGTATATACAGTACACTCATTACTTTTTTTTTTTTAGCAAGTCTGCCGTCTCCCACCAAGGCAGGGTGACCCAAAAGAAAGAAAATCCCCAAAAAGAAAATACTTTCACCATCATTCAACACTTTAACCTCACTCACACACAATCACTTTTTGCAGAGGTGCTCAGAATACAACGGTTTAGAAGCATATACATGTACATATAAAGATGCACAACATATCCTTCCAAACTGCCAATATCCCAAACCCCTTCTTTAACCCTTTGACTGTTTCAGGTCCCTCTCTGAAACTGTCATTCTATGTCGCCAAATATTAAAAAAAAAAAAAAATTATTTTTTCTTATGAAAATGTTAAGATTATTTTTCTGAGTGTTTTAGTCCAAAAAAAAAATTTTTGCCATCGGTACTTACCGAGATATAGAGCCATGAAGTTTGCAGAAAATGAGCCGCGTATGGCAACAGCGGCGACTGCCGCTCACTCCTGTAAACTTTAGTTTACTTGTAATTGAAGGTTTTTTGTTTTTTTCACTATTTTATTTTTTCACATAACTTATGTGGCCTATGAGACCAAAGTAAGGTGCAATGTATATATATACACTCGTTGTATACAACACACAAGCACACAAACATAATTATCAATATATTGTTTTACAAAACTTGTTTACAAAAACAAACAAACAATTCTTCTTCCTCTTCCTCTTCTCCTCTTCCTCTTCCTCCTCCTCTTCCTCCTCCTCTTCCTCCTCCTCTTCCTCCTCTTCCTCCTCCTCTTCCTCCTCCTCTTCCTCCTCCTCTTCCTCCTCTTCCTCCTCCTCTTTCCTCCTCCTCTTCCCTCCTCCTCTTCCTCCTCCTCTCCTCCTCCTCTTCCTCCTCTTCTTCTTCTTCCTCCTCCTCTTCTTCTTCCTCCTCTTCTTCTTCTTCCTCCTCCTCCTCCTCCTTGTGTGCGAGTGGTGGCTTATAATTGTTTTGAGTCAGGAGTCGGCAGCTGTCAAAGTGACATATTGTGTCATTAGTCACTACCCTACCGCCTGTCAAAACAATGGGGTCGGATGCTGCTTCCCCTCCTCCATTCTATCTAATTATCTTTCTCCCTCATTTTATATCTTTCAATCTGTCTCTCTTTCTATCTGTCTGCCTATCTCTGTCTCACAGGTACACATAATACAAGTATACATAGTGTAAATTACCTAGGATAACCCAAGAAATCCAGACAAAGTGCTATACTCTGCTTGAAGATGTGAGTAAACGTGATGACACAGTCTTGTGGCTCTCTCTGAGACAGAGAGCTAGATGGACAGACAGGGAGCTTGACAGACAGACAAATAGACAGACAGAAATGTTTGTGTACCAGCAAAAACAAAGGGAGGGCAATGGTCATGTAATATTACCCTCCTTTACCCTCATCAAAGTCAGCTCTTATCAGATGTTATCTCCCCTTATCTTGTCACTGTCATGGGGTGGACTTTTTTTTTTCTTGCTTCAAGGGAACAATATTATTACATCTTCTTCTTCCTCCTCCTCCTCCTCCTCCTCCTCCTCCTCCTCTTCCTTCCCTCCTCCTCCTCCTCCTCCTCCTCCTCTTCCTCCCCTCCTCCCCCTCCTCCTCCATTGCTTTTGGTCTCAAACTCCTCCAAATCATGAAATTGATCTTCACTGACACTTCCATCTGTGTTAGAGCATCACTTGGGAAGAGAAGAGTCCCAGATTTGCTGGGGAATCACATATTTCTTACCGCTAGACATGCTGAAAAATGACAACTGAAATGGCATTCCCACAATGAACCACTGGCTCCCCGATTTTTTTTATATGGTGCACACTGACCATGGAGACCCATTCTCTCACATGTGGGCCTAGCAGCTTTCTCCTGCTTGATTTGAAGCTGCTAGAATTTATGCGTATAAATACGTCAGAAACATTGGCTCGTAAGACGTATTTATACGTCGGAAACAGTCAAAGGGTTAAAGTGCAGGCATTGTACTTCCCATTTCCAGGACTCAAGTCTGGCTATATAAAAATAACTGGTTTTCCTGAATCCCTTCACTAAATATTACCCTGCTCACACTTCAACAGCTCGTCAGGTCCCATTTCCATTCGTCTCCATTCACTCCTCTCTAACACGCTCACGCACATGCTTGCTGGAAGTCCAAACCCTTCGCCCACGAAACCTCCTTTACCCCCTCCCTCCAACCTTTTCGAGGACGACGCCTCCCCCACCTTCCTTCCCCTACAGATTTATATGCTCTCCATGTCATTCTACTTTGATCCATTCTCTCTAAATGACCAAACCACCTCAACAACCCCTCTTCAGCCCTCTGACTAATACTTCTGCATTATATTTACACCACACATTGCCCTTTGACAGGACATCTCCACTGCCTCCAACCACCTTCTCACTGCTGCATTTACAACCCAAGCTTCACACCCATGTAAGAGTGTTGGTACTACTATACTTTCATACATTCCCTTCTTTGCCTCCATTGATAACATTTTTTTGTTTCCACATATAACTCAACGCACCACTTGCCTTTTTTTCTTCATCAATTCTATGATTAACCTCGTCCTTCATACATCCATCTGCTGACACGTCAACTCCCAAATATCTGAAAACATTCACTTCTTCCAAACTCCTCTTTCCCAATTTGATATCCAATTTTTCTCTATCTAAATCATTTGATACCCTCATCACCTTACTCTTTTCTGTGTTCACTTTCAACTTTCTACCTTTACACACACTTCCAAACTCGTCCACTAACCTTTGCAATTTTTCTTTAGAATCTCCCAAGCACAGTATCATAAGCAAAAAGTAACTATCAATTCCCATTTTGTATTTGGTTCCCTATACGTAATTTAATCCCACCCCTCTCCTGAACAGCTTAGCATTTACTTCTTTTACAAACCCATCTTTCTTCTTTCTTTCAACACACCAGCCGTATCCCACCGAGGAGGGGTGGCCCAAAAGGAAAAACAAAAGTTTCTCCTTTTACATTTAGTAATATATACAGGAGAAGGGGTTACTAGCCCCTTGCTCCTGGCATTTTAGTCGCCTTTTACAACACGCATGGCTTACGGAGGAAGAATTCTGTTCCACTTTTCCATGGAGGTAAGAGGAAATAATCAAGAACAAGAACTAGAAAGAAACTAGAAGAAAACTCAGAGAGGTGTGTATATATGTGCTTGTACATGTATGTGTATTGTGACCTAAGTGTAAGTAGAAGTAGCAAGACGTACCTGAAATCTTCCATGTGTATGAGACAGAAAAAAAAAGACAAAAACAATCCTACCATCGTGTAAAACAATTACAAGCTTCCGTTTTACACTCACTTGGCAGGACGGTAGTACCTCCCTGGGTGGTTGCTGTCTACCAACATACTACCTTAACAAACCCATCTATAAATATATTAAACAACCATGGTGACATTACACATCCCGGGCTCTTCTATACACCCTAACCCGCGCCTCACTATCCTCGTAAAACCTCTTTACAGCATTTGGTAACTTAGCACCTATTCCATATACTTGCAACATCTGCCAAATTGCTTCCCTATCCACTCTATCATATGCCTTTTCTATATCCATAAATGCAATAAAAACTTCCCTACCTTTATCTAAATTCTGTTCACATATATGCTTCAATGTAAACACTTGATCTACACATCCCCTACCCACTCGAAAACCTCCTTGCTCATCCGCAGTGTTACATTCTGTCTTACCTCT